ATATTGCCTCCAACAATCTGGGTCCTCATTTTACTGACTCTGGAAGAATGGAGGGCGGAGTCAACCTTGAGCCGGTGAGATCCGAACTGCCAAACTGCTGGCAGGCGATCAGCAGAAGTAGCCTGCAGTATTGCATACTAACCACTGTGCCACCGTGGCTCTAATCAGATAAAGGAATCTCACATGAAATACTAGTTCGTGTTCAGAATAACTGATCCTTAATTAAAGATGCAATTAATTAAAGAATTAAAGATGCAATTATTCAGAATAATCCAGGCAGTGGTTATTCACTGACTCTTGAACTCATTAAACAATTGGCTATCATGAGGTAACACAGAAACTATTTTTGGTAATAGTGGCTATCTTGGTTTGATTAATTTGAAAATCTAAGAAAAAAATATGTGTAAAAACAGAAATTGTTTATCTTTGTTACAATTTAGCTGTGTCTTTCAGAGACATTCATAGTCAAAGATTTTTTGTTTGGTACTATTCTGATTTTTTTTTTAATCCATGGTCATTCATTTTCTAGACTTTTTTGGGGGGGATTTAAAATTTACGTACTCCACAGAAACTTTCATTAAAAGCACTAGTGTTTTTCTTATGTAAGTCAGTAAGGGGGAAGGTTAAGGTGTACAGTACTTTAAAGGTAATATTGACTCTGCACATTCCAGTGTCTATAAATATAGGAAATTATGTTAATTACTTTTAAAAAACCATCTGATGGGCCATTGTGAGGCTCACTCAGATTGCATGGTGGATAAGATTGCTGGCACCTCCTGCTTTGAAAGCAGGTGTGTCTCCTCCTCACCATCCTTGGATCCAAAGTTTTTCAACAACTATCAATCAGTCTCTAACTTTCCTTTTTTAGGGTAGGCTATTGAGAATATGGTCAATCCATAGCTGATGAGAATCCTGGAGGAAATGGATTATCTACACTAGATGTGTCCAACCTGAGGCCTGATGCTCCATGCAGCCCTGGATAGCTACTAATGTTTTCCCATAAGATTGTTAACTTCCAACATACTATATTATATATTTTATATGTGACTCAAGACAATTCTTGTTTTTTCAGTGCAGCCCAGCCAAGTCCAAAAGTTGGACACCATAATCTAGATCCATTTCGGTCTAGTTTTAAGCTAGGATTTAGTATTGAGACAGCCTTGGTGAAGCTTGCTGATGACTTGGAGCTGGAATGTTGATGGCACATCCATCCTTGTGCTTTTAGGTCTTTCAGTGACTTCTGATCTGTCTCTATGTGTTGGAGATAGGAGCACTGCATTATTGTGCTTCTCTTCTTTGGAGGTCATACTGGATCCATAGCACCTATTCAAATAGCATGGGATTGGGTTGCTTTTTTAATATCTACTGACTTTGACAGTCCCCTTTCAGCCAGGCTTACCTTGCTTTAGCAGTTGTACTGCTTTTCTTCTCCTTTACCTGAGCTTAAATGTAGTTCTCACATCCCAGGTCCTTTGGTCTATCACAGGTCTCAAAATGTTCTTTGGATCTTACATTGTGTGGGATTATTTTTCAGCAGTATAGGCTTCATGTCTGCACCAGATAATTCCATGTTGGGTTCCAGGAATTCCATTGTATAGCAGCATGCTGCTAGTATGCCCAATTCCCTAAGCTGGTTTTAGGCTTATGCAATGATCAATGGTATCATATCTTCGTCCATTTCATTTTGAGTGCACCAAACATTCTGGATGGTCCAGCCCAATAAGCATCCTCTCAATCCACGTTACTCTCTTACTCAACCTATTAATGCAACTCCCTTTTCCTCTCCATGAAGGAAAATGATGTGGTATCTTTTTTTTTCAGAGTAGCAGGAGAAGTGTCCAACCCTAACTATTCTCATGGGAGTCCACACCGGACACTGAACCTTCCCATGGATGCTCAGATCTCCATAGCTGACTATCCTAATAACTATTTCTGAGCTTTCCTCCCCTATTTAGTACCACAGATATTTTTTCCCTGCAGGATTTGTATATGATGACTATATCAGTGAGCTGCTGAAAAAAAAAGTAATGACCTATAGATGCCAGAATTACAATAGCTGTATTCAGTGAAGTGATGTTAATTCAAGCAGTATATTGAGGGAGCTCTCATCCTGTTCATCCATGACAGGCAGTAGCAGGAAAGGCTGATTCATATTTTTATAACACAAGGTTCTCCCTCTTCCCATCGAGCACTATCCTGAGATTGATATTCATATCGACAAAAAAGCATGCATGTGGGAATCAGGGATATTTCCTGCTCTTCGGAATGCCTGGGAGAAATCAGTTGATAGAATAATAATATGGCTAGAGAGCGCAAAAGATTAACTACTTTGTTCTCCAAGGCTGGGAGATTAGTTAAATCCTTAGTGTGAAGGAGGTTGGGGCAATTACTTTTTTGGAATGAGGATAGCCACATTGTTAAATAGCAGAAGGGTTAGGAAAAAAGAAAATGGTAAGCTTGTTATCAGGGCTTGCAATTCAAAGAGGCAATAGTCAATTTCCTTGGGAGAAGTGGTGAGACTAGCTTGAGGATTGAAAGATTCGCATGCAATAGCAATAGCAGTTAGACTTATATACCGCTTCATAGGGCTTTCAGCCCTCTCTAAGCGGTTCACAGAGTCAGCATATTGCCCCCAACAACAATCCGGGTCCTCATTTTACCCACCTCNAGCAAAATCAATGAGAAAATTGGCAGAAGTCAGAAATCACTCCCATTCCCACTGCTTCTTTGTCCAACTGTTTACCTCTTTGGGATAAGGATATATTTCTGAAAGAATGAGCCAAAGGGTCATGGATTATCTATTATTAGCTATAATTTGTAGAACGATGCAGTGCTTTAGATTTAAAGAGAAGAAGGTGATATGGAGCATACCTAGACTTCTAATGTGGAGCTTACCGACAACTCCTTAAAGCAGCTACATTTCTCATATTCACATGACTGCATTCTGCAATCACAATGCAATCCTGGAAAAGGCATGTTTGGTTTCAGATTTGCTGGCAGGTGCTGGGTGCATATCTGCATGACCTTCAAATCATCTTTTTACTATGATTCTGGAGCATAGCAATGTGTTATCATTTTCTCTTTCTTGTATGTTAACTGACAAAGAAGCATTCCATTCCAAAAATAAAACCCATTGGGTTCAAGTTCTTTGAACTTGATTGTTTTCCTTTAGGCTAGACAACATCAGTTCAGGAAAACAGCCAAGCTCAGTGAAGAACAAGAACCAAGCAGTTAAAATCTGAGTTCAATATATTCTGTACAACTGTAATATAGGATAGTGCATTCAGATTCATATTATTCGATATTAATTAATTATTTAATTTAATTATTTTCCCTTCAAATTAATCGGGTTTTATATTTCCCTCAGCTCTGTTTATACAAAATTTTCACTTTTTAACATGACTTATTGTCTCTTTAATGCATTTGGACTGTTTTCATGTTTAACTTTCCTTATAACTGTTACCTTATAACTATTACTTATTGACATCTTACATTCCTCTGTATTCTAATTTTCCTTGCCTGGTGTTTTCAGATTGATGAAGTAGCTAATATTAATGACATGGATGAATACATTGAATTGCTATATGAAGATATTCCTGATAAAGTTCGTGGCTCTGCACTTATTCTGCAGCTGGCCAGAAATCCTGATAATTTAGAAGAACTCCTCCTTAATGGTAATTATCAGATTAATACTATTACGATCGGGCTGGTTTTTGGCTCAATAAGTGGAGTAAATTTAGCTAATAGCAATAGCACTTAGATTTATATACCACTTCACAATGCTTTACAGCCCTTTCTAAATGATTTACAGAGTCAGCATATTGCCCCCAACAATCTGGGTCCTCATTTTACCAACCCTGGAAGAATGGAGGGCTGAGTCAACCTTGAGCCGGTGAGATTAGAACCGCTGAACTGCAAACTGCAGTCAGCTGAAGTAGCCTGCAGTACTGCATTTAACCACTGCGCCACCTTGGCTCCTTGCTGGTCAGTCTTGCACAATATTTTTTTTTATTACTAGGCTTATACTGAAATGAATAGGGGTTCTTCGTACCCTTAATTCTTCAACCCTGATTGAGGCTACCCTTTGTTTGATGCGGTCATTTAGCAGAAGACGTATAATGCATTATAAATATGAACTTCATGCTATTGTTGAGACAGTACTTTGCTTCTTACATTTTAGAAACTGCATTGGGTGCTTTGGCCAGGGTTCTGCGAGAGGACTGGAAACAAAGTGTAGAACTTGCTACTAATATAATATATATATTCTTCTGCTTTTCCAGGTATGTATAGTAACATGTAATATATGTAAATCAATAGGTTCTGGAACCTTAATATTTTAAAATAGCAGTGATTATTAAGTCATGCTTGTGGATTAATATAGGATTTACTCTGGTGCCAGTACTCTGATTTTAATTCTTTTTAATGTAGCTTTTCTCAGTTTCATGGACTGATTACACACTACAAAATTGGAGCCCTTTGCATGAATATCATTGATCATGAGCTAAAGAGGCATGAGCTCTGGCAAGAGGAACTTACCAAGAAGAAGAAAGCTGATATCCTTGTGTATTGTTGTTAGTAGACTAATGGACAGGCATGAAGCCAACTTATTCTTACAACTTAGAGCAGTCTACTTCATTTTACTCAGTTGTTGTATTCATTCTGCATTCTCATTTGGTTGTTTTTCAGATTCTCCTATCGTTTAATTTTTAAATAAAATATTATAGCAATGCTTCAAGATTGAATATATGATTTATGAGAATGGTACCCTTTTGGATATATAGAATCTACTATCAAAGAATGAATAGCATTTTAGTATTTTTTCTGTATAGGTAGAAAAATGTTTTATTTTAGTGATTATTTTAGTTTGGCAATTGCTACAAGAAATTAGCTGTGGTCTGTCACAGTCCCTTATTTCAGGTTAGTGCAGAGAACATATTGGTTATTGGTTCAACCAACATATTGGTTCAAGAGAACTAGTATAAATCAACAAAGTAGCAGCAAACCTGCTTTTTTGAATAGCTATATTTATATTGGCTGGCAATTACTGAGGCTGCTCATATGTCACAGAAAACCAAAACATCCAAATAGTTCTAGCTTATTACAAACAATACACTGATATTCATTGCTTATTCATACTTGTTTCCTTCTTGCTCACAGAAATAGCTAAGCAAGTCATGGAAACCCATTCAGTGTTTGGTTTGTGTTGTGTATGAACTGGAATTCCAGGATTGTTGATAAGGTGTTGCTTTTGATTAATAGGAAAGTAATTGAGAGTTCCTGCTTATGGACTGGTTAATTGTTCTTACAATCAGGAAAAGCCAATGGGAGTGATAGTATATTACATGTGCCAGTAGGCTTCCTGAATAAGGTGTCTTATGACAGTGTTTTTCAACCACTGTGCCGCGGCACACTA